ACCTACCCGCTAAATAGTTTCAAAGAAATACTAAAGATGGGAATTTCCTAATCCACAAGAATGTATTGAATATCCGCTACTAATATTTTCAAGGCCAAATTTATAATAGGAATTTCCTAATCTTTAAGTATTAAAAACTCATAATTTCTTTATTCCATACTCTATATCTTAATTTTCTCCTTATTTACAATTTGTCATAATATTTCTATTATTCTATGCATACGTATTTGCATATTACATAAAAAAATAGATAACAGAACTTAAATTTGCGATCGAATTCATTTGAAACCGAGCGCTCTTGCAACCATTCAAAGAATTTGAAAGTGAAAAGGAATGATGAAAAGGGTAGCAGCGAGCTGTTACGAACAAGAACACAAAGCGTGCCACCCGAACACGAGTGGCACGGTCCCTTCGTCTTTCGCCCACAATAAACTGGTATGAGACTCTTTTGCGTCCCAATGTGAAACGGCACTATGATTGTAAATCTATCACAAATGAAAAATTCTTTTGGGTAGTAGATGATATGATTTTGATTTTTTTAATAAATTGAAAAGGTTTAATTAAAATAAGTTATAATGATATAAATAACGAATATATAAGAAAACGAATTCATCAAAAATCTAAATAAATAATGAATTACGAAAAATATTTCATTTCACTACTTCTTGAAACTCCTATGTAAATGTGTACCGTCTCTTTTTGACATATACAAAATTTTCTTTTGTAAAAACCATACACATTCACTGTCATTTTTTTGTTCATTGGATCGTCAGAGGTGTCAGTAATAAAGAATTTAGATATTTCATTTCATTTTTTAACAATAACAGTTATGGAAAAAATGTGTATTGGGGCACCCAGCAGCATTTTCTTGTAGGGTGAAGCCGCCCATAGAACTGCAAAACTATCGATAATCGGACCACTCTATAGTTTCTATAGTTTAAAAAATACTATGGGTACTATGGTACTGATAGTTCTTCGCCTTGAAATCTAATTACTTTTCGCTGGTTTAAATTAAGAGACTTTGGCTCTGTACACTTCATTTTTATGAAATAATCTTTGGATTTATTTCTAAAACAAAACATGAACAATAACGGAAAAAACTAAAAATAATTAAAATGATATTCGTTTATATGCACTGTAGGCATTAGATAAAATTGAGATTTCTTTACAATTTTTATTTTTCCACGGTTCTTAATTCTTATAAAAATACTGGAAAACCGTAAATGTAAAAAATAGTTCCATATTATAACTGGTAAATTATTTTAAAAATGTTCTGTAATTACAAATTTGAATGAAAAGATAATTTTAAGGCTATCATGTTATCCAAAATTAGACTTCACATCTGGAATTACCAATAAGGATATATTATTTAGCTATTAAGCGAAATTTTGCAATTTTATGAAAATGAAACCATCGATAGTTAAAATCAACTATCGATAGTGAGACAAAAATAAAACTATCGATATTCCCATCGATAATATTTTGTATCACTGTGTACGTTTTTATACTCTCGCAACATGTTGCTACAGAGTATAATAGTTTTGTTCACCTAACGGTTGTTTGTATCATCTAAAACTAATCGAGTTAGATATAGGGTTATATATATATAAATGATCAGGATGAAGAGAGACGAGTTGAAATCCGGGTGACTGTCTGTCCGTCCGTCCGTCCGTGCAAGCTGTAACTTGAGTAAAAATTGAGATATCTTTATGAAACTTGGTACACATATTTCTTGGTACCGTAAGACGGTTGGTTTTGCAGATGGGTGTAATCGGACCACTGCCACGACAACAAAACGCCATTAATCAAAAACAAATAAATTGCCATAACTAATCTCCACAACGAGATACAAGACTCCTATTTGGTATACAGGATCACATTAGGGAGGGGCATCAGCAGTTAAAGTTTGCAGTTTTTTAAGTGGGCGTGGTCACGCCCCCTGATAGGTTTAATGTGCATATGTCCTATACCACTTAAGATATAACAACAAAATTCACTGGGAACAAATGTTTTTAGAACCTCTACCTACCTACAGTGTGAAAATGGGCGAAATCGGGTGGCAACTCCGCCCACTCCCCATATAACGGTACTGTTAAAAACTACTAAAAGCGCGATAAATCAAGCACTAAACACGCCAGAGACTTTAAATTTTATCTTTGGGATGGTATGATTTTATGACTTTATAGGAACCGCGTTCAAAATTAGACAGTGGGCGTGGCACCGCCCACTTTTAGGTGAAAACCCATATATTGGGATCTGCTTAACCGATTTCAACCAAATTCGGTACATAACATTCTTTTCATATTTCTATGAAATCGGATTACAACCACGCCTGTTTCCCATACAAGTATAACACCATTTTAAATTCCATCTGATTCTTTCATTTTCCACTATGTAAATCAAGCAATAATGATTGTATCGGGGTAAAACTTTGCGTGAATAATACGTTTAAAGTATGCTCCCTTGTGACTAAAAATTATCTATATTGAACCAGAATTGTCTAAGCCCCTAGGTACTGAATATGTGGACCCCAGTGACTATATTTGACTTTTTACCGAAAACGTCGGTTAACATAGAACAAGGCGGCAAGAACCATAAATAAATCTAAAACGAGTATACCATTTGACTTTGCGAGAGTATAAAATGTTCGGTTACACCCGGTTCGGTTAGCGCTTCCTTACTTGTTTGACTTGAAATTAATTTCTGGACTAATTCATGTTGCTCAGGTGTGAATTTCTGTCCATACCCCATTTCATTAAAATCAAATTATATATCAGCATAATATGTCAACAAGTAAATAAAAAATAAAGTTGAAGGTGTTTTTGCATCACCTAATTGGCAATGAACGACTAATTTTTCATTATACGCTGATTTAAAATGAGCGCTCCTATTATTTTGAGAAGCCAAAAACAACACCTAGGTATGTGCGAAATTCGGGAATTGTCTCGAACAGAAATCATGATTTGCACTCATATTTGAATAAATTACATGAAAAATAACACAAAAAAACAAAAATTTGAAGTATTTATGCCACAGCGCTCCTAATATTTTGACTACTAATTTTCGCTTGACCATGAGTGATACATCGTCTGCACAATCATCCGACAGCTGCGATCCTCAAGTTTTTTCAGCTGGTGGTTAAAAACCATGATTTATAGAAGAGAGAAATGAACTTCACCTTGTGGCGTGACTTTATTGATATTTCGCCGAGCGCGTGCGTCAAAATTAGGTGTTTGAGGTTCGAAGCAATTCCAAAACTGTCCAGAACTATTATGACAAGACATCCGACTATTCCAACAATACCTTGTTGAACACTCACTCAATAGCTAGGAAGGTGCTAACTGCGAATTCTCTTAACCTGATGGCTTCCATTAAATTTAGACTGGAGTTGAAAGCCGTGAAGGCCGCCGGTCAATTAGCGTTACCCAACATTAACACGTAGGCGACCTGCACTACATCGCAAAGTGTACTAGAAAACATGTTTCCACACAATTTTATGAAGAAAACTCGTCTTGGCTGTGTAATTCAATACTTCCGACGTATTTATTTAGTGAGTTATCGCACTTCTAGTATGTTTCAGTATTACTATGTATATATTATATGGGAGAGGGCACCACTCCCATCAACTGATTTACACAGTGTGTGATGAGGAACTGGAATCTTGTCCTTAGCAAGTTTGGTTGTTATGCTTTAACGCATTGTGATATATGTGCATTCAACTTGGCTCCGAACGGACAGACGGACAGAGAGTAACCTGGAATTCTACATGTCTCGTCATCCTGATATAAGTATACAATTTTATATCTATCTCGATTTTAGGTGTTACAAACAATCGCTAGGTAAACAAAACTTTTATAATCCGTGCAACATGTTGCGACTGCTGTCTAAAAAAAAAGGAATCACGAAATAGGGTTAAATTTTAACTTAGGTAGAAGGTAATTTTATTTTTTAATTTTACGTTATCGACGAAGGTTTGGGGTAGCCAAAACGTACTGATCCATTGAACCACTAATAGGATATGGCGGATCCAAACATAAAACGGAAAAACATTCACAGATGAGAACATGGCCCCTACATTTGAGTGTATTCAGATTACACGATTTCTGAAGGCTTTAATTTTGCGGATGTCAAACGTTGCTTATGTGCATTCAAGCGTCGAATGACAATTTTTTAATAGATTTGTAACTCAAGTTATTTTTGCATAGTATGGGTCACTCTTAAACGAAAAATTGTCCACCTTTCTTACAATCGCATGATCAGTTTTTTAATCGATTTTATTACGTATGATTAATCAAGTAATGTTTACCTGTGCGAATGGTAGTTCGAGAAAAGACCGTTTGGACATCGGCCATACATAGAAATAATCCATAAGTAAAAACTGAAATTTCTCATCGAAGTTAGGTTAGTACAGCAATACATACATATATAAACTTTCAATAAGATAGTATGGCCCCTGTTAAAAGTACATTTTTATTGACAACCGGATTAAAATGATCGACACGTTTTTCACGATTTATTTTTTTGTATAAAATAATTTAAAGTTCATAACATATGGTATATGGGTACTTGAATTTTAATTGACAATAAGTATAAAATTAACTATCTTAAGAACAAAATAGTAATAAGTTTATTTAATTTATTAAAAACTATGCTTATAAGAAATTTTTAAAATTAAAGTGAAGATAAATAAAGTTCCTTTACAATGCAAAGCAGTTAAATTATTATTAAATAAGAACAAAATAGGATATAAGCATAATATGATATACAATGTACATATATATTAGTGGTATTTATAGTTTAACGATTATTTTTAAATAGCATCGGCTTCTAAGTTGTAGACATTTTATATTGTAAAATTAAATATACATGCATATTTATTTATTTATCTTTTTTGAAACAATTCTTTTTGAATAAAGTGTAAAAATTTAGTCTCAAATTTTATTATTTACATTTTACTCACCTTTATTCTTCCTCCTTTTTTGCATACGAACAAATTATAGCGAAGCGGCAGTATCCAGTTTTCCTTATTGCACAGAATCTAGCTTAAATTTTTCCACATCAGCTACAGCATACAGCGAGGATGATGCAGAATATGCCACCGGAAGACGTAATAAAACTTCGAGGGTAAATATTTTCCTTATTTTTCTTTTGTAAAAAATGTAGCATTCAACACAAGTGATGAGCGCAAATGAAATACTCATACCATTCAAAATCAATTGGAATTATATAATACCAACCCGGAAAGATGAAATTTATATATGTATATTCGTACCTTCCTACATACTACAAGTACACACGTGTTACGTAATGTTAGGCTCATTGTTCGCATAGTTGTTCTAAAATATAATGTGGCGAGGGATCTCAGAGCTATTTGCTACAGGGCATGGTCCAATATAAAGACAGGAAGTAATGAAGAAGGTGAATGTTAGAAAGAAATTTACTGTGAAACCTCTTCACTCAGTAGTTCAGCAGCGGCCGCGCACATACTCGTACAGAATCATAACAAAAAAACCAAAACAAAAACAGGAAACAAATACACATATAAATATGTATGCATATGTACACATTAATCGAATATTTATAAGAAAATGAACTGGACACGACCGCTTTTGACTCCAAATGCTCTTCATGCTCAACATACACTGACTAGTTTAACAAAATAAATTAGATTAAGTAGTATATGCATTTGTATGTATCGAAATTCATCTCATAATTCACTAACGGTTTAAATAAAATTCAACATATGTACATATACCTGGTTACATTCGTTCACGCACACATCTAAACACAAAACACGTAAACAAACATAAATACATACATACATATGTATACATTGAAGAATAAATACTTATGTGTATGAGGATTTATCAAATTGGTAGCTTAAGAAATTTTTGGAATATTGAAATAAAGTTACATCATATTTTACCATGGTATTCATGGTTCATGGCAATAAAACAATGTTAACACTACTTCTTTTTTTTCTCTTTCAATAGTTTTTATTTTACTTATTCGAATATTCTATTTGATTAGTAATTTTATCGTAAATCTAATAGCATATTTTTGTTTTATTTTCTCTTGATTTCAATCCATATCAATATGCGTTTGCTCATTAACAGCAAGATCCCTTATCTCATCGCATCATTGAGAAGCGAAGACGCGATCGCATGAATTCCTGTCTGGCGGACCTTTCACGACTCATTCCACCTCAGTATCAACGCAAGGGTCGTGGTCGCATCGAGAAAACAGAGATCATCGAAATGGCCATCAGACATTTGAAACATTTACAAAGCGAATGCATCCAAAAGGACAACGAGTACCGCATGGGTTATACGGATTGCATGAAAGAGGCCGCCAAGTTTCTCTACGAGAGCCACATGGAGGAGTTTTGTTACCGTTTGGTGGCACGCCTGCAGGAGCACTGCGTGGAGTTGATGAAAAGTATGTGTAATGATATCTGATTGCTCTACTTTATATATAAATTGTCTGATTTCTATAAATTTCTTTAGATGACTGCTATAAATCACGTAGCTGTCATATACCGGACAATGTGAGTGCATCAAGCGGTAGCCCGCATCAAGCATATCACTCGGCTCCGCCACTCTGTCAATTGCGTGACATGCTGGGTAGTTCGGATATTGAGCAGAGCAATGATCATAACGATGTTAAAGATTTGAGTTTCCGCAATCATTTGAATCAAATGCAACGCAATGCTGCTGCCGCTGTTGCGGTTACCAATAACACTAACAGTAGCATAGTACAAGAGCATAATAGTAGCGGTAGTCAGACCAATGCAGCTAGCAATTCAACCACTGCATCGACGGCAACGTCTTTGAATAACACTATTAACACGACTGTCCATAACAACGGTGTGTTGGTAGTAAGTGGAGGTCCGACTAGCAGTTCGCAACTACGTCCACATCAGGCACCCGTAATAACTTCTACTGGTCCGGCCCTATTGAATCACCACAACGAATCCAGTAATCATGATTTTGAATCATCGCGAGAACCGCTATTACATACTGATACGTCTAATATGCATTCACCCCCACCACGCGATTCATTGCTGCATCACCACGCTCACCTGAGTCATCATCAACATAACTCGGATAGTTTGTTGTCAGCGCGCATGCGCAATTTTTCTGAATCATCACACGATATTGAGCACAACAATAACTATAAGTATAAAAATCATATAAAAGAGCGTTTTAATCACGAGCTGCATGATGAGGAGACATCTAGCGAACATTGTCCAGCACCGCCGCTTCTACAAAGCGAACATTCACATACCCACTCCTTGTCCGAACATTCGAAAGATGGCACCGAGCCCGAAATTGCACCAATTATAGCAAAGAAACGTAAACTGGCAGAAGCAGCAGCTGCAGCGTTGGCGGCAGGCACAAGCGTCAATAGCAATATCGCTTTGGACGACTGTGAGGCACGCCCTCCCACCACCACGACCAGCTTGCTGAGTACGCGCGATGAAAAACCCTTTAGTTTCGCCGACATCAAAACTGAATTGAATTCGCAACCCGGCTTTGGAGGCGCGAAATCACATTTTAGTACCCCCACTAGCACTACTCATGTATCACTGAATTTGCAAACGTCGCGTTCTTTCGCTGTACCGATATTTGCGTTACACGGTCAGGGTACTTACTACATACCACTAAATATTGATTATAGCGTGTTAGTTCCATTTCTTAATGGCGCCGATCTACTAGAAAAGAACTATGCTTCGATGCCGGTAGTGCATCCAATAAATATTAATGTGAACTTTATGCCTACCTCATCGTCGTCATCGATACTCGCTGCAGCTGCTGCAGCGGCCGCTGTAGTGGTAGGAAAACAACAATTGCCTCCTGTTAACGGTACAGTATCCTCGACGGCAGTGGCTGCGACAGCCAATGGGGCAGTTGTGACTAAAGCTAAATTGGAGAGCATCAGTAACGGTTGGTAATCATGGGAATATACTCCAATATCAGTTAAAAACATATTACAATAATTGCAACAACAGTGCGCAGGCGCACGAAAGTATATGGTGCATTGCGTTTTACGCACTCGTCGATTGTCTGCAAGACAAGACCAATCCTCAATCACTACTACAAGGAACAGCACTACCTCAGACATCTGTGAAATAGGATGCAACAGTAAAAGGACTAAACTAAGCGCTAGTCAGGAAAAAGTAGCTAGCTATCGTCCACACACTCAGCTACACATAGTGTGCTGCTATAGCAGTGACTTTTCGAACTGGATAGACTACGGCTACCTGACTGACAGTTAGAGTGTTTACATAATCATAAATTGAATTAATAATTGTAAATACTACCGACTCTAAAATTGAAGCAAGTGAAGAATTTAATGAGGTTTCGTCTTCTCTAAAGAACATAACAGCAACTATTACAAAGAACTATAAAAATGAGCAAACAATAAATTATTTACAAACTTTTAAATACTGAATTTTTCTGTTCATGGACTGGGATAGCTGCAAAGCAATGAGTGTGCAATTGAAAGAAAATTTTATTAAGTTATATAGTATAAATGTATGTAAGTTTTTACTTATATATGAATAGGGCAGCCATGTTTTTTAAATTTTAGAACTAAATACAAGTTAGATTTGCTGTGTATTTAATAAAAAAATAAATGCTACTAGTCAAAAGCTACAATGAGAAGGAAAAAGGTGAATGATGTGAAAACTTTGTTATATATGTAAGGGTACAGTTACTCACACAAAATAATAAGTTAATGTTACTTCATTGAGTAATATTTTTAGAAAATTTCGTGTAACATGAACATGTACACACATATTTCTACTCAAACAAAATAGTTTATTAAAATAAGTAAAATTGTAATTTTGCGAAGGAAATTAAGTTAGTACTTAAGTTATGGAATATTTGTTTTTATTTGCCAAGGGAAAATTAATTTATGATAAAATTGTATATTTTTAGAATATCTGTTTGTTATAATAATCTGTATACATGTAATAATTATACATACAATGTATTTTAATGGCTAACGAGTATGAATATTTTGATATAAAATGTAGCTTTAAGAATGTCATTCAACAAATAATTATTGAAGCAGTTTAATTTTTACATCAAATACCATTTTCTTAACTTTGTAACATACCACAAAATAAAAAACTATGTCACTTTTTGTATTTTTTTATTATACTTTCACATCAAGAATAAAAAAGTTTAATTCTAATATTCTTCTGTGAGAGTATTCAATTAATATATAATGAGTTCAGGTTATATGCAGTTGGATTATATCTGATCAGCTCAAAACCGTTGTTTGTACGTCTCTTTATATAAAAATGAGTAAATCATTACAAACAGACCTGGTATAAACTTACGTACATTTGTGAAAGGAGTTTTAAACAACAATGTTTCCACAAAATTGAAAAATAATATTTAAAAATGTCTGCAACGCTTGTCACTTGTATATTCTTTTAGAGACCTAACAAATTTTTTTTGCTTTCGAGGAACACGTAATTTGTGTGAGGAACTCTATTCACAGTTACATCTAAACACTTTATATATAAAATATATGTATAAAACTTTTAAAACCACGAATATTGTTTAGTTGAGAAAAGGTCACGCGAGCTATACTTAGGAATATACATTTGTGTGCATGTACAACACTGTTGTAAAAATACTATATTCGTGAGTGTGTGTTTGTAGCGAGGTATATTTAACTTTTGTTCTTTATTAAATAAGTGTATGTATTTCCAACAGAACTTAAAAGTTAAGTTTATTGTTCACTATATACATGTTTATATGTTATTATATAACAGTATGTTTACACATAGCCACATAATATGTAAATGTATGTCATTATTATTAAGAACAGTAATAGATAATAAATTTACTGAAATAAAAGTTTATATAAATGTTTAAATTGTGAAAATATTCCTGTTTTTATTAAAATGAAAATTGTAACAATATATTGGTAGGTACTAGTAATTAGAAATCGCTTACGAGCTATTTATTTTATTAATTGATAGATACAAAAATATAATTTTCAAGTAAGGAAGGGCTAAGTTGGGGGTATAACCGAACATATTATACTCTTACAACTTGCATGGATCAAACAGGTGTGGGCACAACTTTATTTTAAAATTGTTGCGAAAGAATTCAGCATTCATTGTTCGCCGAAATTGTGAATGGATTGCAATCAAAGTCCCGAGGTATGGGTTTTCACCAAAACGTGGGAGGTGCTCCGCCCATCGTCAAAATTTGACACCGGCTCATATAAAGCCTCTTCGTATCAGACCGGATCTAAAATTTTATGTCTCTGGCGTATTTTTTTATAGATTTATCGCGCTTTTAGTAGTTTTTAACAAATGAAAATGAATTCACCCATTTTCACATGGTGGGTAGGGATGCCAAAAAGATTTATTCTGAGCGAATTTGGTTATTATAGCATGAATGGTTTAGGAGATATTTACATTAAACTTATTAGAGGACGGGGCCACGTCAACTTTAAATTTTTTTCAGCTATAGGTGCTCTTCTCTAATTCAATTCGTTTTGCTAAATATAAGCCAATTTATTAATTTATTGTGGTGCTTAGTTATGGTATAAGTTTTCGCTTATTAGCGTTGTGTGGGCGTGACAATGGTTCGATAACGCTCATCTACATTACAAACCCTGCTTGGGTGGCAAGGTATATGTATACTAAGTCTCATTAAGATATCTCACTTTTTACTCAACTTATTGCTTGCACGGACGGACGGACAGACAGTCACTCAAAATTCAACGCGCCGCGTCATCCTGACCATTTATGTATATATAACTCCATATCTATCCCGAGCAGTTTTAGTTTATACAAACAACCGTTATGTGAACAAAACTATTGTTAGGAATACACAAATAGCAACAACATAACGTTAATAACAGCTGAATGACAGTATAATATTATGTCCATATTATTAGTGTCGACTAACGCGGAACTATGCAGTACCCTATAGAAAACGGTTTCCTATCAAATACCAAAACTTGCATTACGTATTGCTACAGAAGTCGATAACTGGACCTAGTATCCTGTATTATTACTACCATTACCACCAACTAATATATGCCTAAAATAACTACAGTGCAATAAATTCTACGTTAAGCAATATAGTATATTCGCAAAGAAAAGTACTGAACCCATTTTATTCATATTTAGCTTAAGATATCTTTCAAATTGACTGATAGTTTTTATATAAGGTCAGACGTAGTTACGGAGGTATTCGGTATCTGAGAGCTTAAAAAGTTGTAGTCCGATTTTGACATTTTTGGATGAGAGTTACCACAACTTAAAGGCATGCGTTATTTGTACAAAGGTTTATTCTGATATTTTCACTGTTGGCATGGTTGTAATCCAACTTCGCTCATTTTCTAACCGTACCATAAGGATGTTGGGAGAAAGTTATGTACCGGTTAAAATTAGTGGTGTCATCTCCATTGTCCGATTTAGCAATACCAAACCTTTTCAGAACACCAATTAACACGGGTATTAAGTTTGTCAATAAACTTAAATTTTTCGTCGTGTTATCTTCATTTTGATGCGTACCAAATTAATTCTATTGGTTTTAAGTGTTTGAGGCAACAATTAAAACTGTTGTATATGTTTAACATGTTGTGAGAGTATTAAAACTGGAAAAATAGAAAACCTTAATTTGAAAGAGTGCATTGCGTCTTCTTCCTTTAAATAACAATGCAGGTTTCGCGTTCAATATACCAGGAGCAACGATTTGCTTATTTATGCTAAAATATTTCACATAACATGTTTCCGGATAGTCCAAACTCATTATATACTTATGTACTCGTATATTAGACTCTATTATACTAATACAATATTTCAAGGACCACATTTGTACTTTCGCAACATATTACTACAGAGGATAATAGTGTAACGTATTTACTCGTTAATTCGTCTATTGTTTTCATGTCAAAGAGCTGTATTGAACATAGTGCAATCGCAGGCAAAGATGCCCAGGGGTCTCAGTGTTTCCGTAAGAAGCAAAAGTTCTATATGAATCTGAAAGCGTTCATTCTGACATACCCTTTGTTTTCTTTGTTTCGTTCTTAAAATATAAATTGTCAAGGAAAGCGAGGAAAGTTGTATGCCAATGGGCCATAACTGCTTTGCCTACAAACCATCGTACATATCTTTATGTTTGAACATGAATACATATCGACGCAGATTTGGAGTCTCCAAAAATATTTTAGAATAGACAAATATTTTAAACCGATAAGAGCTACATTGCCACTTTTGTCACTGTGTCTTTTGTGTTTTGCGGGGTTGTCACTTTTCCCTTCTGAAAGGAAAGTTGTTCAATATATGATTTTTAGCGCATGTTCAGGGCGATGTGATCGTGTTTGCTTCTTCAAGTTGTATGAATGAAATTAGATTGTGCATGTTATTTGAGACGATTGTTGTTTTTGTAAAATCATGTTAATAATTTTGTACATAAGGAAAGATGGGCTCACCTTTAAGTGAAATTCTATACCTTAGGAATTATTTGACCAATTTCAAACAAATTTGGTGCGTGAAGTATATTATGACCCAAACATTCCTATTAAACACTGTGAAAATTGGCGAAAGCAGATGGCAACCGTATCTACTTCGTATATAACACACTTTTAAATTTCATCTGAAACTTGCACGTTACAGTATACAAATCAAACATCAACGAAGTGATCAGAATAAAAACTTGCAAAAATAGTGCCCTCAAGGCATTACATTTTACGCTCAAATATTGTCGAAATCGGCCTATAAATTTTCATAGACCCAGATATATGTAGATCGCAGTGTAAATCGATCAATTTGTGAAATCTAGTATTGAAATTCAGAGAGAATCTTTTTAATTTTCAACGAAATTAAGAGAGAATCTCTTTTTTAAGAATAAATGGGTGAATTCTTCCCGTAGCCACCCTTTTAATTGAACTTACTATAAAAGTTTTCAAACATCGCTTTGACTTTAAACCTGATATATTGTATATATATCGTATCTTAATGAATCATCGAGAGCATTTTTTTCGGCAATGTAATTCCGAGAATTGATAAAATCGGTTCAATATTGTCCGAAACATGAAATTAACAACTGGGTGCGCCCCTAGTGTGAAATTTTGAAACAATATTCTAAAATTTCAAATCTAACTAGTTTTTAAGTTACAGCGACTCAGTTCAATCCGGTCCACCAGTTTATTTTTAAACGCGTTTTTCTCCAAATAAACCTTTTTGGATTTACTGCAGTGATAACTTGAAGACAAATGCATATAATTCTACATACAATCGGAATCGAATATTGGCAGGCCAAAAACAAGCAAAATTTGGGGTAAAATTTAACTTTTTTTAAAAACGCCTTCATTTTATAAATTTTTGGTTTTTTTACGGAGGTTATTATTATTATACGGAGAATATGTCCTAGTTTAACGAGAATTTTTTATTTTTAGGTTTCATCTAGAATCATCTGGAATCACTGCAGCAGTGGAGAACTTTTTGTTTAGCGTCCCGTCGGAGATCTCATATAACTCAAAAAATATTAAAATCTTTTTTCAAAAATTTCACTGCGTTTTCTTGAAGCATGTATAATTATACTCTGAAAATTTCGATACAGTCGTTTTTTTAGGTTCCCACCGAATATAAGAATTTCAAACTTTCGGTTAGCTTTAAGGTGTATACGAGTATATCAATCAACATGTAAGATATATCAGCAATATTGAGTGAACGTATAATATTGGATATACTGTAGTTTAATGCCGAAAATATGTGAAATCGAACGAATAACCCCACTCCCCAGCTCCCACATACTAACATACATATATATACAGGGCTGTTGTGGAATCCAAGACAGATATGCTTAGTTGTCATAATTGCAAAACAAATTCTGATTTTCAATGGTGTCACAGTATCTGATAGGATTTTCGCCTATTCGAAAATACGCAAAAGCAATATTCGAATCAGCTGTTGACAAACTAACTGCTACTATGACAAAACAAAAAAAAGAATATATTTGGAATTGGATTCTATTAAATTTCTATTAATTCTGATTCCGACAACTATCAGATTCTAATACACCCCTGATAGTGATTTTCGTTATTCTAGCAGACTTTATGCCCAATATGTCAGTCAGTGTGTAAATTATTGTCATAAAATTGCATGGAAACATCTTCTTGAATATACTTAGGTACTGCGAAAAGTTAATGCAATCGATTCACATCTTCCCTCAGTTCCAATATCCCCGATATATTAATTTTCGATTTTCCACCTGACGTCATTCCATTTATATTGGTTAAAATTTATGATTATTAGCGAGCCACTTAATGGGTGTGAGAAAGAGGAACTAGACGCTTAGTCAAAATCGAACAGATTTCCGGGTGGGTTATTGATTAGGGCGACAGAAACGTAAAATGTGATTTCTTTTTTCTTCTGCCGATAGTTCTCCTTCAACTCTATCTGCAATGCCTTTTAAGCGTTCTAGCGCTGTCTCAGTGGACTTTTCGTGATCTTGGTAAACGTGTGCGGCAATCCCAGAACCATCTGGCGCAGAGGGGAACTTATAAACTAACTTCTTTTATCAAGGTTCATCTTGCCGCAATTGTAGGAGTTCTACAGTTCAATATCCTAAATGCGGTTAATCCTGTTGGACGCAAATTGCCAATATTGTCAAGTCTTTTGTCATTTTTTATTATTTTTTGATATTAAGGAGCTCTCCAAGTTCGCCTCCGCGAGGCGCATCCTCAGTAACGCTAAATGGCTTGCGTTCTACATGGCCTTTAGACTCCTACGGACCTTAAAACATGAATAATACTGACAAAAAAAAAAAAATTAAAAAAGAACGAGGAAAGGGCGAAACCGACCTCAATAGGGCCTAAGCGGCGCGAACGATGGAAAAGTGGGGTTAAAAGAG